GACACAGACGGCTCGCGGGTGGCGAGAGTGAATGCCGGCGCGGAGAGCGGTGAACATCGGTCCAACGTCGCTCCAATATCGGTCCAACGTAACGGTTGACCCTGTTCATATCTGGTACTTTCCTTTCCTTGTTCCTTCAATGGGATCAAGAGCTTCACAGTTTTACAGCAACCACGTACTGCTATCTTCGAATGCGTTCTAGGGGAATCTCGACGTACAAGCTTTTATTGATAAATAGATGTATATTACAACACAACACCAAAATAAATACGTTGGACATCCACTATGAAAATTTTTGTCAGTAAACACAAGGAATCTCTATGAGTTCGTGCTTTTTCTCATTAAGGATTGCAGTACGAAATTATTTTCGCAGCTGTCAATGGAGCTGCAATTTCGAAAAACTTCGTATATCCAAGATCTCGACGACGTGCTGTGATCGCATACCGTAATGAAGCGTACGTCCCAACACCGAGCATCATTAGTGGTTCGCCAATGTCCTAGATATTAGACATAATTAATAAAGGTATAATATATGCATTGCGCAAAACAGCCAGTTACTGTAGCTGTCCCCCGTATATGACAATTACGCGAGCATTCGCGAGACGTTCGCATCAAGCTGGACGCGTCACGGAGCTGTCACATACTACGAGTGACGCTTACATGTGATAATGATGATGATATGGTTGTTGAAACAATCGAAATGGTTTACCTTCGGAAAGCTATCCTCTTCTTCTGTGCAGTCGGTTTCCTTGAGGAGTTTTACGCGAAACCTGAAGGCAGAAAATTGGCACAGTAATGGTGAGTGATTTGTGTCCCCTCTGTACCGACTTGACGTGAGTTGTGTAATTCAAAGTGGAAAGGAAGGGAAAATATACCACAAGTGGATGGAAGGAGGAAACCAAACGCAACAATCACACTACTTGAACATGGTGTCGAGTAATAGAGATTATTCCCCTTCTGTTGTTTATGGTAGGTCAAGCAGTAAACAGAAATGGTTATGGGATCGAACTATTGGGGCCACTTTTCTGAGACGGCTTTTGACACACTGCTGCGGCAGATTCTCAATAGAGATGAGGAGGTCCCATAGGCTACATCAAAACTACCACGCCATGCATTCTAGAGAAGTCTGGATTAACCGGTAAAGACATCAGTAGATAGAAACGCGCAGCTGAGCACGAACCCACATGCCATTATAGAACAATGATTCAACGGCCTCTAGGATTCAGAACCTGAGCAAAACGTGTACCGCAAAATTGGGCAGCAGTACCTTCCTTTCAACCTTCATCAGCAACTTCTACCCTTTATTTTCCAGAATTTAGCATGACTGAGTTCTTAGTTGGCAGGGTCAAAGTGGACAATATGAGGTAGAAAAGGTAAATGAAGTTGGACACATTCACCTCTAAGAACTGAAGCTATATGTATCACGAATTTAAGGGCTTTCAGTTCCTTCTATAGAACACAAACTTTCAAACGCACTTCATCGGTGTCACTGATGGAGACGGTAGTTTGTATAAAGAAAACGTATTCTCGATCACTTTCCCCTTGTCATCATATGTCACCTTTTCAAATGTGAGACTGCTATAGCTCTAAAATATGAAAGTTTATGTACAAAAAGAGATTTCTATCTAAGAATAGTCAAAAGTGTATTGTAATTACCATCATTAACGCTCCCTCGATTTGGCAGATATCTATCGCTGGATTTAAGTTTCGGCCGACATCCATGACTATATCTACGGATAGAATCTGAATTGGTGGATATAAGCTACAAACCCAGCACTGAGTACATTTGGTTGTAGTTACAACAACGGAAAAAACGTTTGGATGTTCTTTTTTGTAATTGTTTTCAACCGCTCTGAGGACGTAATTCAAGGAGCGGGGCATTTGCTGAATACGGTAGTCATGACGCAACGCGTCATAGCGGAAGCAGGGATTTGGTTGCAATACCCTAAAATCCCATAGATAAGAGCGGTTTAATTTACCGGTGAAAAATGAATTGGAATGAAATTGAAATTGAATGCAGTCACCCCTCTAACTTGATGGATGGATAAATAAAAATCGGAGAAGAAGTTTAGAAGAAGCTCCGCCCTCAACTCTAAACCCCGCCCACTTAATAAACAATTCATATAGAAAAATAGCGATTTTAACGGAATTTCTGCCGGAATCTCTCTAGAAATGCCGGAATTTGATCTCTGGATAGAACTTGAAGAGCCCATTCGATCAGTAAAATTCCATAGATAAGAGCGGTTTAATTTACCGGTAAAAAATGATTTTGAAAAAATATTTTTATTTTTATTTTATTTTTGAAAAAATATCTATGGACCGCTCTTATCTATGGGATTTTAGGGTAGTTTTTTGTGAGGGTGTGAAGTCAGCTACACGAGGCACACAGACGGAAATGAACAAGGCGCTTGGGCGGGCGGGAAAAGAGACTCGGAGGCTATAGAACACAGGGAACAAGCCAGACGCAGACATGAACACATTAGAATCGACGTGCGTCCATCAATGCGTGAGTTCCTAGCGGTTTCGCCATGCCTTTTGAGTAGGGAAATTGCATTACCCTCTGATGCTGGTGATTTCCATAGAGAATAAGGAGTAATGAGACACAACTGCTCCATATTTACGCCCGTACATTTGAATCGCAATCACAATCCACGATCCTTAGCTTGCGCATGTCTGTGTTGCAGTTTGGTTATAAAATCGCTAACCAATAAACTGCGCCTTTTCATGCAGGCCACGCCCATAGGAGTAAAATAGGTAGCATTTAAGTGAGAGTGCACAGCGCTGTTCTAAGTGAGCAGGTCGTATTCAGGGAGCCACTCCATTAAAAATCACTTCAACATACTTATTTGTTTTTTGTTTCACAGCACATCTATATGTGTTCTACATGAAGGACATTTATTTATTTATTTATTTATTTATTTATTTATTTATTTATTTATTTATTTATTTACTATTGCACTCAAGGTGCGCCTAAGACAATCGGGCGTGCGTATAAATACAAAGTTGACTGCTAGAAAAATTCAACACACGCCTAGATTAGCGACCTAACTATGCAGAATGTGTCCGTAGGAAATAATGAATTTGTCAGCATTGGCGACCCTTGAAAATGAACGTGAATGAGAAGCTCCTTTTAAAGTGTGCAGTTTTTAAAAAAAAATTTTGGCAGAAATTCCAGAACAGAAATTTTGTTGCAGCACCACAGAAAACCCTTAGAAATTCCATAAATCGATGCAATTTGTTGCTATTGAATATATTGCAATGATCTTTCAAAAAACCCTCGGTACCTGTTGTTCTCCTGTACGGCAATCGATCTATGAAACGATGCACGCTGCGCCGGTGGCGTTATACATAGATGACTGTAGAGGGATCCCATGTTTTCGGCTGAAAAAGCGTAATCGATGTTTTCGGTTAAACGAACTTCATGTGCCGCCATTTTTTGGCACCCACCCGATGTGTTCGGACGCTTGCAGAGGCACTCGCATCTTATAGGCTTTTAACACAGCTTTACGCCAATCTGGTTCCTCTTTGAGAATAGGACGTAGGCCGACCATTAGCTTCTCACAGCATGCCTGAAAGGGGTGGAAATTGGTGCTTCGAATTTATATCATTTAGGGTAACGAAATGGTGGGCTGACCATAATCGCTCGTCCATGAACGTCTGCACCTTGAGTTCCTCCATTCTGTTGTTGGTTATATTTTTTATCTGTGCTCGCATCAGTTACCGTTATAAAGGAGGTAGGAATCTAAAGATAATTGAGTGCAATTATAGCTAGCAGTACCACATAGCTCCAAGCAATTAGAACCTCACTGACCCTTCTCCGTGGTACCAGTATCACTTACTCTATTTTTTATATATTAGGTCGGTCCATAAGTCTTGCAACAAACTGGCCGAATTTTGAATTTAATATTTTCATTATCTTTTTGTTCCATTCATCCGGCATGCTACCCTCCATCAATATCTACAACCTATTGCCAACACACTAGTAGCTGCTTCGATGCCTCCCTTGTAGGACTCTACTGAATTCTGATCGAAGAAAGATCAGATGTCGATTTTGACATCATCATAGTTAGGATGAGCTTTCTTCTCTAGGAGATGGTTTGGAGAGGGGAGCAGAAGGGCATTATTTGGCTCGAGGTCAGGGCTATAACGTGAATACGGAAGAACTCCCGTCCATAGTCTGTGATGACAATTATACGAAGCTCTATCTAACGCACGGGACAAGGCGGATCTGGAAGAGTTAAGCTCTATGCAAACCTCCGTGTAGATGTCGCAGTCAACGCGAAAGTCAACTATCCACAGCTCGAATGCAACGCTTTTAATACGAAAGAAAAACAAGGCAAAGTTTGCTTTTGTATGACACCGTTGAAAAACCTCTTGCTAAGAAAATTCAGGAAAATTTCGAGACCCTAAGACGGAA